TTTATCTGACTTTCACGTCCCTTTTTTCCGTTCCTTTAACGCTAGTACCTTTTCCCGAGAACGAAGACTCCCTTCCATGTAACCTTGAACCGTCTTCTCCAGACGAACGTTCTTTCCAACATCATGTCTCGCTGCGTCTACCAAAATGAGATGAATTGCACCTGATTTAACCCATGTCGAGTGACCAGTTTCTGCCATGTTCATATTCGGCGTTTTCATTGTGTTTTTAAAAGCTCGAAAAATGTGCGTTTTCCTATTGTTCCAACATTCGTCCCAAGAGCTGAGTACACTGGAGTAAGCAGATTATTTTTAATAAAGCGATTCAAATCCGCTCGTTTTTTCCCCAAAAACGCTCACCGTGTTTGCTTCCATTAACGCCCACGCGAGAGCTTTAAATTCTGCCTTGTGCTTATTATCCAACTTCCCACTTTTACGACCAACCGATTGTTTGTAATGAAATTCGCACGATACAACTTTAGCCATAGCATCCTCTCCGAATACAATTTTGATAGCATTCCACTCAGCTCCGGCTTCGTCTAAGACCCATCCAGCAGGATTAAAAACATACGTCTTGTCACCAGATACGTCCTGTAACACCCGAAATATATAAGTGAAATGTAATAGCCTGGACCTAGTTGTCATTGACATAATGATCTTATACTATACCTCGTTAAATAGAGACCAAAACTATACCATGGCTTCAGTATCTTCAGTAGTACTTTCCATTGTACCTTTCCACTCTACCAATTTTCGAAGTAAAGGGTGATATACCCAGAGGGTTATGGTCTTAAACCCGGGACAACGTTTGTGTGTGGCATCAGCATAGCAATACTGGTCATGCAAAAGGCCAATCTTTTCACAATCCATACTCATCGCAAGGTTTGCTTGAAATCTGGAACATTTGAAGACAAACGTATTGTTATCATTTTGTCGCTCGTCGTTAAAACGATACAATAGATTAGGATGTCTCTCGTCACAAAACTTCTTGAATTCACAAAACGCATCAAAAGAGTACCCGTGACTCTCTAACGATTTCGTTGCTTTCGCTTTCGTGTCTTGTACGCGACGGGAGTCCGCCAGACTTTCGGCCTACGCGTCAATTTCTTCCCATGCATTGCCTTCTTTAATGCACATACCCGTGTGTTAGCAACAGCTTTCGAGGGTTTCAATGAAGAAGGCTTCGTGAAATCAACTTTTAGCTTTTGCTCTACATGTACCGAACTCCCAAACTTTTATAGCTTTGCACTCCACAAAAATAGCCTCTTCTTCGCAGATAAAACACTTTTTCCCGATTTCGTTGTTCGTAAACTGGACATCGTTGGGTGAGCCTTTTTTCCTTAGAAACAAACAATCTTCGTTGGGACATTTCCATGATCCCCCACACCTTGCTCTTCTCTTCACTCCGCGATATTCTTTTCTTTTAGACGTACACCACGTTTTCCAACGTCGACCATCTTTACTAGATTTCATAATATTCGATGGATCACATTCAAGTTGAAAATGACAGAAGCCGTCAATATCGAATGGCAGTTCTTTAACATGTTTACATTCGATTTCATTAAAAATTCCCATGTTCAGCGTTGCACTTATACTGCTATCAAGAAATAAAGTTTGTTTTTTAAAGATAAGAAAACGCCCTATTTTTTTATTTCGAAGAGGACCTTCTCCAGGAATGTACCGAGGGCATTCCAATTAGGGAGGTTACTGGGCTTTTCTATTAATTTACCCACGAAGACAATGGATTAGACTTGGTTGATTATGAAACTCGCAATACCTAAATTTACTACAACAATTGATAGCGTAAAAATAATAATACTTAATTGATAGCACAGTAGGTTAAAAATCCGACCACTATATGCCCCTGGCCTTCTCAAAATACACATTTCTAATACTACGTTCATTCAAAAAAAAAATAATTAAATAAATTAATTAATTAATTAAAAATTAATTAATTAATTAATTAAAAATTAATTAATCAAATTAATTAATCAAATTAATTAATCAAATTAATTAATTAATTAAAATTAATTAATTAATTAATTAAAATAGATTAATTAATTAATTAATATAGATTTAATTAATTAATTAATTAATTAAATAAATTATTTAAAATTAATTAATTAATTAATTTTTATTTTTATTTTCATCACAAGCTGAAAGATGACATGTTCTGCCCAAGTAGGCATCATGATTTCTTATGATTACATGTATCTGGAATAAGTTGTCAAATACTTGTGCGACAAGGTTCATGTAGCCAGTTGCATGAGTCGCTATGTACATGACAAAAGTAGTAACTTTACTAACTTGTATGTCAATACCGTATGCTTGAAATGAGAGCATTCTCAAACAATGTTATTCCAAGTGAACATCTGTTAGTAAAGCAAAAATTACAATGAAATGGAAAACGTTTTCTTATTTTATTATACCCCACTGATGAACTGTTTGACTGTTGTCTCACAAATTCATCATCCTCAAAACTGAAAGGGGAAAATTAATGATAAAACAATGAATAATCAACAAAAATAGTTATGTTCGAAAAACACCCAAAATGAAATCCTTTTTCACTCACTCAGGTAAGATGGAGTACATTTGACTTTCTGTTTCATCATCAACGTTATCAGACTTGGTGTTAGGTACACTGAAGATAATCCTGATATAGATAATATAAATATATACTCACAATATCAGCAGCATGCACAAAATTAATAACCATAAACCCTTCATTTATATGACAAAACCAACATCATGTAGTGATGTGCATTTTAACATTGACAGAGGAATCAATTTGAAACTTCATAATATTCCAACCAGTTACACATTACAATAAGTTACACATTAAAATATAAAGAGTACGATATGAAATATAAAAGTAAGGCAAAGATACATTCCCTGCGAAGTTACTAACGACTGTATAGAAGCTCAAATGGAATTGCAAGAATTGGTAATACCTTTTCTTTACCGCGAATCTTTTATTTCAATTACAACAGGTCTAAATAAAAACATTTTCATAGAAGATCTATACTCAAGGGCTTAGCCAGAGGCCCATCCAGCCATCTTTTGGACGGGTGTTTTTGAAAGTGGACAGGCAAAAATATAAACAAACTATCAAAATTCCAGTATTTTGTCTTTTTTCATTTCTATAATATCTCATACAAATTTTAAGTTTGCTAAAATATTTAATAATAGATGCACACATTTTGACTCCACATGGAAATTATGTCGTATTTGGACTAAATGTTGACGATTACAACAGCAAGTGCAAGATTGCAGGAAGTTCTATATTAACATTACAAAATCATGTCTTGAGCTTGTTGTAAAAAATTGAAGTGCATTTCAAGGATTTAATTTCGGGGAACTTGGATTTTAAAATTTTCCAGGGGTGTGGGCATCTTGTACCTTTGGGCATCTTGTACTTTTGTGAAACTCGTCCAGTGGATGTGTAAACTATACAAACCCTGGATAAGTCCCTGTCTATATACTATCTAGTATTTTCAGCATACATAGCTTTTACAACAATTGATTTCCTTGTCCCCAGGGCCACATGCCAATGGGGAAAACTCTACTATGGAGACTTTTCAACATTTGTGAAAATTTTCCAAGGGATCATTCACAAAAGATGTCCGGCCAAATAATGGTTTTCAGACCCCCCTTCCCCCTCCTTGTCCGGCATTGTCCGAATTAGTGACCCCCTCCCCTCGGACATCCGCCATGCCTCGCAAAAACTTACGCAACCCTGTATATGTCAAGAGTAAAAGACTTTTTTTACTTTTAGAACTTTTTTATAACTATAAATGTGAATACAAAAACATTTAAATTACTAATTAAAACAAAATCTAGAATCAACCGCATTGTCAAAATGCCAATTGCACAATGGGAGGGAGTGTTCAAAATAGAGGAATAAGAATTTTTTTTAAATCTTTTTTTAATTTTGGACATCCGGATTGCTACCCCCCCCCCCTCTGTCCGAGTTTGTCCTGATTTTCAAACCCCCCTCCCCCCGGCTCGGACATCCTTTGTGAATGGCCCCCAACACTACCTGACATTTTCAAACATAATAATCCAATCATTGCAAAACATTCTTAAGCCCCCCTCAAGTAAAGCACCCAACCCAAATAAAAAAAACAGAAAAAAACTGCCTGAAACAAGCCTTGAGATGTTATAACACTTATGTAAGTGCAAGTATTATGGCCAATTTACACTAAGCGCAACTTTCGGCACAGCACAGATAAAGTTGCGCTTAGTGTAAATGGGCTTCCCATGCGTATCTGGGAAATGCTATTATGTAACTCGAATATTTGATCCTTGCCCCTGGATACGAGGGACCACTTCCGCTATAAACATACTTAATATCTTCTTTATCTGGTGATGAGGAAATCACAATCACTTCATCATCGCTGCTGCAATCAGAGAAGATTGAAAATAAACTTTGTAAATATAAGTTTATCAAGTGCTACCCTATAAACGTGTTTAATTTCCACTCTTATATGTTTTACTGTTTCAGTTCGGACTCATTCATTATTCAACTTATAAATATGAGTTTTTATAAGGTCACAGGACATATCTTTTGGCAAATTTGCTATTAGCACCTTAAGTGCACGTTCGTAGTTCGTACCGTTTTTTATTGCATAGTAAAAAGTGAGATACCGAAAAATACATGTTTGTTATGTTTACTAACGTAACGACCTGTATATACATAAAAAGAACATTACATGGTGGCTTGAAGATATGAAATTTATCTTCCCGTTTCTGTGGTGAAAACAATATTTTACTCACTCATGGCGTTCGTTCGTGAAATATTGTTTTCAGCAGTCGAAGATAAAATTCATATCTTCGTACCGCCGTGTAATATCCACTATAATATATATTTTATATACTCTCCTTGTTCTTGACCTTTCAAGAGTAATCAAGACTATAAATAATGGTTCGAATATTTTGAACGAAACAATACGCAAAATGTACAAGTTTAATATATTCTTTTCCAAAATACACATATAGTAATTACTGTATATTAAGACGTATAACAAAAGATATTATAAAAACGATTTATAATACAGTAAGTTTACTTTATTCTCCATATTTATATGTATACTATAAACACTCTGCTATAATAAACACGAGTTTCGAAGAAGTAAACAAGAAATCAAGAATCAGAGTTGTTCGGAAATTACCGGAACATTCGGAAATGCCGGTGTATAAATAACTCGAACTCGAATCCAACTCGATGTTTCGGGATTCCCGTTGAAGTACATCAATTTTTTTCCGGTTCTGATTGAAGCTCTTTGGTAGTTCTAACAAGTTATGCTCCAGTCGGTTTAAATGGATTTTCTGAAATTTTCACAGCAGAGAGCTAAGAATCTCAGCTTAAAACAATGTCGGGCTTTGTTTTAATTTTGGATATTTGGTGAATTACGAGCAATTCATTAAAAAACCCTGAAATATAATATAGTTCTCAAAGAAATCTATATATATATATATATGACGAATGGTGAAATAAATTAAAAATCCACACACGAATGATATTTTGAAAAATATATCCTAAAACCGGCAAGAGCATAACTCAGAGGCGTGAAGGTACCGCGATCTTATTATCCAGGAGAATAATTCATATATTATTTTATGTACTAGTTAAAACATGAGCAGCCGATCTTTATCTGATATACAAACTCGAGCCGAAGGCGAAAGTTTGTATATCAGATAAAGATCGGATGCCAACTTGCTTAAAAAACCACCCGTCTTACGAGTTCATTGGCGAAGTAATTTTTAAACTAAACATTGTCTAAGCCGAGAAAATCAAAGTTGAAGTTTATGTAAATCAGGAAAAATCTTTATCCGATTTACAAACATTGATTAAACATTCATTTCTTTTGTATTTTCCTCATGAATTATTAATGAGTTTTTTTAATGTTTGTCAACTTGACACCTTACTGATATAATGATATTCTGCGTGCACTATTATGAACATATTTGATGAAAATTTGTAATAATCGGACTTATATTATGCGCGCAGAAGTGATTCTCCGCAGAAAGCCACCAAAGGTGTCCGTATCTAAAGAACATATGTAGAAGTATCGAAACACATCAAACTGGTTACACGTCGATTCAAAATTTGGCAATTGTAAAATAGATATAGCTATTCGTTCTGTTTTTAAATGAAATAAAACATCATTAGAAATCTAGAGAAAGAAAATATCAACAGACCTTAGAAAACACAGAGTTGCTTGCAATTTTAAGTTCTGGTTTGTATAGTATAGAGCGTTTCTACATGACGTCACAGACGCCATGTTGATTGGTGTTCCAATTCAAAAGAATTTTAATTAGACCTTTTGTCTGGAACACCAATGCCTCGACACTCTGCTGAAACCTGCACACGTGCATCAAAGCTCGACGTAAGTAAATTTTTTAATTCCCATGCAAGAGCAGAAAATCGTACGCTTTACAAAGATATTTTAATTCTTAATAAGTCAATATTTAATATAATTATGCACCCTTCTCAATATTTTACGCATCTTTGCGTTCAGCTTAGTACTAGGGCATTCAAATTTTAACAATACGTTATTTCAATGGTTTTGCGTTTTTTTGGGACACCCTGTATATGTATGTGAAATTAATTTCCATAATTTATATTGGTATTTGTAATTTCGTTTTTCCTTATTTGACTAATGAATGTTGTAATGTTTACAGATTGCTTTTATTATGTCACCTATATACTCTCTAATTAATTATCGCAATGTCAAAGCATTCAGTACTTGTAATTGTTCAGTTTTTCAAAAGTAAAAGGTATTAATAATCATCTACAGTTGGTTTTTATTACCATATGTAGTGTTTTAGAACTTCCCCCGTTTAAAGAAACGATTCTACTACATATTGAATTTCTGACTAATGCATTAAGAGCCTGCTTACTGATAGCGTTTGGTACTGGGATAGTAGATACCGCTAGAATATCAAATCAACTCTTCGCAGCTGTACTTATACCTACCTACCTACCTTATTTGAAATACTTTGTTTTCCCGTCATGACGTCTCCCTCTTACATGCGTAAAGTCCCCAAGGCATTTTTTAAGAAATTTTGACTGCTGGGGTAAAGTGTGTTTAGGTCCCTTGCGCAAGACAGTCATGCAATTAGCTTGAGTTAAAACCATTCGTTTCTACATTTATTTATAAGCAAACGATCGGTTACTTTCCAAAACAACAGTTAATAACATAGTTATATAGCATAGTAACACAATATATCTTGTCTAATTGACCTATAATAGTTGGTCTGACCCATGCATTCCTTTAAAGGCATCCATTTTTGATAAAATCCCAATTCTGACCTCGTTTGGTGCTCGGTTCCGTCTATCTTTTCTTTTTAGGAATTCATAAACTGCAGGTCTCGGATCAAAAACAGAAGTTGCTTTTCCATTTAACGAAACTTGCATGACTGAGTTGATTGTTTCAGGCTTGAAAGATGCTTTCCCAGCTGTCTTGATATTGTTATAGTGTGATACATCTCTCTCAGTTGCCATGCTATGTCAACGTTAAGAACGCTGCAAGAAACTTTTTGAGAAGCTAGTCCACAGCTACAGGTAGCCTGGGTCATTTTTCTCAAATGTAAAGCATAGGATGTGCCAACATCTTGAATGTCAACAACATAATTTATATTGCTAATTTTTGTACATGATTGGCAGACATCTTGAACAAACTGTCCAACATCATCAGGTCCGAATATTTGACTGACCAAACCTCTACTTGCAATAATTAACTCTGTGGGTGATCAATAATTATGAAAAATTACATTTAATCACCTGCTGTGTGCCTTTCTTCCATTTACTTAGAAAACCTTGTGCTGTTGCTTTTTCTGTTTTGTCTGATTCGATAGTCCCATTGGTCATTTTTGACCATAGGTTTCTGGCAGCTTCATGATTATTCAGCACAGCCTTTAAAATGGTTTACGTGTGTTCAGCAAATCTCACGTCAAAGTGTTTTGGAAATGTTAAACAATTGCCGTCTTCCTGTAAAAGTTGTACATACTGGGTTAACTGCTTACAAATAAAATGTAAAACAAGTGGTTTACATGTAGTTACCAACATTGCTCGTAGCATTTAAAGTAAAATGCATTCCTCTATTTTCTAACTGCATTTATCATTCTGTAAATTGTCTAAAATAATTGTATTGATATATAAACAAATCAGTTATACCTACTGTAGCAACTTGGTTCGCCGTGGTGATGCTCTGAAGAATGTTGACACTGCAAGAACATTAGACATCCAAATGGGCAGCTTTGGAACCTGAGATTGTATCGACTCTGAAGCTAAATCTGAGCGATGGAAAACACACCATGCAGTCAGGATATCTCTTTCAGTATATATATATGTTCTCTTTACAGTTTCCACAAACCACCATTCTTTTCCGTGTTGGCATTCTCCTCATCAGTTGTTACACCTACCAGCTTTGTTGTTTCAACCTTAACACCACTTAAACAAGAGACAAAAAAGCACCGAGCAGCCCAGGTGCTCCCCCCAAATCACTGGATGAGATCCCAAGAAAAAGAGTATTGACACTTACCTCTTCTGGAGGCACATACCTTGCTGTTATGAACTTAGAATCAACTTGCTGCCGATCAGAACTGCCGTCAATTTGTACAGAATAACACTAAAGACAATCTTTCAATAATTTTTCTGTTTCTCCACTTCATGCTGACCAGTTATATCTCTCATTTCTG